TGACCTCAGCATTCGACTGCCCTCTTCTTCTCCCTCTTTCCCTCCACCCACCACCATTTCTCTCTCTGTCTCTCTCTCCCCCATCTCCATTTTTCTGAAGTCTACCATCTTTCAAGACCCAGCTCAAATGCCATCTCCTACATGAAACGCTGCCTAATTCTCTCAGTCAGATATGACCCAATCCTCATGTGGCAGCTAATTTATACACTTATTTTACATCTTGTATTATATTTATTTATATATACTATATTTTAGTTCCTCCCTGTCCACTAGATTTTTAAGTTCTTTGAGGGTGACATCATGTATTTTCTTTGTGTCTCCTGTAGAACCTAGTATAGGGCTCAGCTCATAGAAGACACTTAATAAATATGTTCAATGGAATTTCTTTTTACTGCTAATTATAGCCAATGTGGCAACATAACATGGGAAATAGCTACCTTTGAAGAACCGAAAATGAATATCACACAAAAGATAATAGAGAGGCTCATGATGATTCTAAGAAGGTTGTAGGATGATAAAGAATGATAAACTCCTAAGAAGGGCAAAAGGATGATAGACATTAGAGATGGTAGGCTCATGTGAGAGCTGTTGGGTTTGTTTGTTTTGAGGATGGGGGAGACTTAGAAGTGCTTTTGGGCTTAAGGGAAGGAGCTAGTAGACAGGCAGAGACTGAATATAATATGAATCCGTGATGACATCTTTGACTTTTGCCCTTCTCTATTAAACTCCCTGAAAAATACAGCTATATTCCATGCCTCCATTTCCATTCTTCTCACTAAATTCTAAACCAGGGACATCAAATTCAAATGGCAACAGGGTCTGTACATAAGAATCCCTGGGGCAGTTAGTTGACTTAGAAAATCATATATGAGGGGCAGCAAGGTAGCGAGGTACATAGAACTCCGGCCTTGCAGTCAGGAGGACCTGAGTTCAAATCCAGCCTCAGACACATGACACTTACTAGCTGTGTGACCCTGCGCAAGTCATTTAACCCCAATTGCCTCACCAAAAAGCAAAAAAAATAAATAAATCACATATTAACATTATCAATGTTTTTATTGTATTTTTTATTTATTTTGTTAAATATTTCCCAATTCCATGTTATTCTGATTTGGCTGCACTGGGGGAATCATGAGCTTCGACATTCAGCTGTTCTCTCCAGGTACTAGTGATCATTTACATACCAAATCAAATGACCTTTTATCATTTTCCTTTGATAAGTCTTCATCTATGGCATTCCCATTAACCATGCATGTCCCCCAAGGCTCTGTTCTCATCCCCCTTCTCTTCTCCCTCTATATTATCTCACTTGGTAATATCATCATCTCATATGGGTATAACTATCTTCTCTATACAGATGACTCTCAGATCTATATATTTAGCCCTAGTCTCTCCTGAACTATGCCTATTTGACATCTTGAACTGGATGCCACATAGGCATCTCAAGCTCAATGTGTCCAAAACTGAACTCACTATCTTTCTCCCCAAAGTCTTCCCTCTTCCAAACTTCTCTATTACTATTGAGGATACCACCATTTCCAGTCAGTTACACTTGCCACCTCATCATCCTGAACTACTCATTCTTATTTACCCCACATATTTAACTAGCCTATTGCGAAATCTTGACGAAATCGTATCTTTCATATTTGTCCCCTTATCCCCATTCCCACAGCCAACACCTTAGTTCAAGCTCTTATCACCTCTCTTTCTTTAGTGCTATTGTAATACCCATCTAATCGTTTGCCTTCCCACACCCACCTCCAGTCTCTACCCACTCCAATACACCCTTTCTCCACTCAGTTGCCAAAATGACTTTCCTAAAGCACAAATCTGACAGGGTCATCCCTCTACTCAATACCAGTCCTCCCTTCTACCTCCAGGTTAAAATATAAAGTCTTCTCTTGGGCATTTAAACTCTTCACAACCTGGCTCCCTTCTACCTTTCTTGGATTCTTATACTTTCCTCTCTTCTGCACATTCTATAATCCATCCACTCTGGCCCATTTGCTGTTCCTTACACAATACACAATGACCTCTTAAATACAAATTCTGGATGTCTTTTCTTAATCCTTATCCTTGAGCTCTCTATAGGCTTTGACACTGTCAAGGAGGCAGGTGGAGGAGCAGTAGATAGAGAGCCCTAGGCCTGGAATCAGGAAGGCCTGAGTTTAAATCTCACCTCAGACAATTACTGGCAGTGTGAACCCTGAGCCAGTTACTTAACCTCTATTGTCCTCAGTTTCCTCAACTGTAAAATAAGGATAATAATAGCTACCTTTTAGGGTTGTTGTAAGGATAAAATGAGATAATATGTGTTCCTGAAATATAGTTACATATTATATAACATAACATTTTATATATTCAGTCATTTCAGTCCTATCTGACTCTTCATGACCCCATTTGGGATTTCCTTGGCAGAGCCATGGAAGTGGTTTGCCATTTCCTTCTCCAGCTCATTTTACAGTTGAGGAAACTGAGGCAAACAGAGTTAAGGGATTTCTCCAGGGTCACACAGCTAGTAAGCATCTGGGGCCAGAGTTGAACTCAGGAACATGAGTCTTCTTGACTCTAAACCCAAAACTACTGTGCCACCTAGTTGTCATATAGTAGGTGCTTAATAAAGGCTTGTTTCCTTCTTTTAATAACTCTCTCCTCCTTGATACTATCTTCCCTTTAGGTTTTCTTGACCCTGCTTTCTCCTGGTTCTGACTCTACCTGTTTAATGAGTGCTCCTTCTCAGTCTCCTTTGATAATCTGTCATCCAGTACCAGCCCAATAACTGTGGACACTGAGGCCCTCTCCTGGGCCCTCTTTCCTTAGATGTCCATAACCTTGTTTCCATCAGTGTAATGGCCTAACCAAATAAAAAAAAAATTGCCAACCCCCTTATTTTCCCTGCAGTCCTGCCCTTGCCAGGGGGATCATGATCATAGAATTCTATAGTTTGAAGAGAATTTATAGATCATTTAAGCTAGGGATCCCTGATATTTTTTATGTTGAGGAGATAGAGCGCTTCTTTCCTGTAACATACCAGTTGATAGAAGTGGAAAGAGGATGGGGAAAGAGATTGGGAACTAGGAGAAAGTGCTAATGGAAAGTTCTGAAACCAAGGGAGATGGGGAGGGAAGGATGCTGGTAGAAAGACCTGCTGATGAGGCTTTTAGCCTGTTTTTACGTCTAGTGACTTCTGACATTTCAACTTTGGTACTCCATTGCTATGATCCAGAAATGTCTTTATGCTACAAGATGAATGAGAGACTTACTTACAACATCACTAACATGAAAATATGTTTAACAGGAAAGTAAATATATAGCTTATATCAGATTGTATGCCGTCTTGGGAAGGGTAGTGGGGAGGGAGGGGTAGAAACATTTTAAACTGAAAAGCATATGGAAGTTATTGTTGATAAATTAAAATAAATTAAGAAAAAAAAAGAATGAATGAGAGAAGCCTCAGGCTATGCCCACATTTCAAAGGCTTGTGGTCACAGACACAGGCTTGGGCCTAAGGACAGGAACACATGAACACTATCAATTAAGTTCAGGCCCTGATCTATCTAAACCAATCAATGCCCTTGTTATAAGTGAGGGGACCAGCACCACTGAGTACTCCTCCATTAAGTGAGTAATATAGCTGGGATCTGATAGCCAGTCCAATGCCCTTTCTATATCACAATGGCATTTGAAATGACACAAACCCAGTACATACCTCCTAGTGCAATGTTATGATTTGAAAGGAAATAAGTCTTAAGTCTTTTTTTGTGGACCAGGGACATTGAAATCAGAATGGTTAAGGGACATTTCTGGATCTAAATTTTCAGGGGCATGCTGGAGACAGCTTATTCTGGGGAGTGCTTGCAGTAACTGTGAGCATTTTCACCTTGGAAAATACTACACATCAGGGCTTGCTTTATTATTATTATTATTATGATCACTATTATTTTGGTGATTGTCTAGACATAAGAAAGTGATGGAGATTAAACTTAAAAGTATCATGTGAGTAAAATGTTGGGGTTTTTTCCCCCAGAGAGCTGATTATTAAACATTTACAAGCACATTCCTAGTTAAAAAGCAGTGACTTGAACTGGGGTGGGTGGAGAGGAGAGAGGTGCTAGCTGAGGCATCCTTTCCTAAATTAATCCCACCGGTGGGATTATGCCAGATACAGATATTCACGAATCATCTTCATTTTTGAATGTGGAAAGCTCGGTATTCCTTCCAACTATTATTGCACCTAGAACTTCTTAGACCAAAATCTACAAGAAACAAATTTGATGGAAAAATAAAGTATATTATAGCCATCAAGTCTCTTAAACTCACATTCAAGCTTCTCTGTTTTTAAGGAAGACTTTCATTTATTGAATATTACCATCACTTTTAGAATATTCAAACCATCTTCATCTGTTATTTTAAATCCTTATCAAAATAACTACAACAAAATTAAAAACATACTAGAAAAGCAGGCTAGACTTTATTATACACTTTATTAATTTTCCACTTGCATCTAATGCTAGAAAAATCATCAGGTATTTTCTATAAAACATCAGAATAAATAAAAACCCTGAAATCTCCTGGCAAAGCAGATACTATTTCCCAGGATAGATTTAGGTCTGTCGTAGTTTTTAGGTTGCAGTTGCTGTAACCTGAGAGTAATGCATGAGACAGAAAAAGAAATGATAGAATATTTTTACTGATGCTACCAGAAAATAATTACCTATTTCTCCACAGTGAAAGTGTTATATAGCTCCATATTTTCTATCACATTATTTCTATAAAGGTTGAAAATATTTTACTTGTTTTCTGAATCCTGGAGTTTACTAGCAAGTCAATCTTAGCATTTCTTGGCCTCCTTTTTGGAGGCCACATTAAAATGATCTCTGACACCATGACTTAGAAATAGAATGGGAGAACATGGTAAAGGAGTTAATGGAGGAACTATATGTTTAAATCCCGCCTCTCCCTGCTCTTCTTTGATTGTCTGCCACCATCCCGGCTCTTACCTTGAGTTTGGCCAGGAGGAGTTCATGATCCTCAAGTAGTTTCTTGGTCTCATCTTGGCTGCTGCCAATTTCCAGAAGGTTGGGACAGGATTCAGCCAGCTGGAGTTGTACCCATTTTCCACTCTTTAAGTGAAAACAAAACCAAAGTTACTTTTAGGTCCTACCTGTTTCTTCCTCCTCACCTCACATTCTTTTCTTTCTTTCTTTTTTTTTTTAATTGACATTTAGAAGGTTGATTTTGGCTTTGGAATCTTAGATTGGAAGTGGAAGGAATCTTAAAAGTCATCTTGTTCTGACTCTTTATTTTACAGATTGGGAGAATGAAGCCAAGAGTTATAGCTCACTTAAGGACGCTCCACAAGCTAGTAATGAGCTGGCCTAGTAAAGAGGCCTGGAGTTAGAGAGACTTAGGTTTGAATGCTGCCTTAATCACTAGGAGACCATGGGTAAATCATTTAACCTTTCTGAACTCCAGTTTTCTCTTCTGTAAATTGGAGACAATCCTACCTGTAATGCCTACTTCCCAGGGTGGTTGGGAAGCTCAAATGAGATAATACAGATAGCATTTTGCAAATTTTTCAGCCCAGCCTACATGAAAATAGATGATTACTTCCATTATACGACTCACCTCCCTATTTGAGTAACCAATATACCAAAAAAAAAAAAAACAAAACCAAATCTAACTTACAAACAGATAAATGAGAGAAGATAGCCATTACTTGCTAAAAAGCAAAAGATTAAGATTTCATCACAACTAAGTCTTGAAAGTACACACCTTGCCTAGTTCAATTAAGATGGGATCATAGAGTCAGAGTTGGAAGAAATCTTGGAAATCATCTTGTCCCATCCCCTCATTTTACAAAAGAGGGACACAGGATTCATTTGACTAAAATTTAACTTTTACACAACTTTTGCTGATCACATCTATTGCTAAAAGTGAAGAACGCCTGTGTGCCAATTGACTTACAGGAGGCCAACACAAACGCTGGAAACTTAAAATTCAAACAACTGTCTCCATAATCCCAAATAAGGACTTTGACTGCTTTCCTCAACCCCAGTGGTGTCCATGTTGAGTAATTTGAGTTTTCATAAGCATTATTGCGATCGTCTTTAATTATTCCCTTGATTCATAACTATGTGACTGGGCAATGCATAATAAGGGAAGTGAGGGAAAAAGCATTTATTAAAAGCTTACTATGTGCCAGGCACTGTGCTAAGCACTTTGCATATATTCATATGATCCTCACAACAACCCTGGGATATTATCCCCATTTTACAGTTGGGGAAACTGAGATAACCAGAGATTAAGTGCCCTGCCTAGGATCACACATCTAGAAAGTGTATGAGGTCAGATTTAAACTCAAGTCTTCCTGATTCCAGGCCCCTAATGTGATGGAGAGGGGATACTAAAGCAAAAGATACAGTCCCTCCCCTCAAGAAGTTTACCATCTATTTGAGCAATCATGCCTTTCAATCGTGAATAAACTGGAGAACAACAAAAAAGCAAAGCAACTTTTGAACAAGTTAATGATAACAAGGTGGCACTCACTGCATATGGACTAGATATATGGAAGGACAGAAGGTAGTTTGTCTAAGGGATTGTATAAACAACACGTCTTTTCTCTCCATGAATGTTGTTATTGTTTAATCTTTTTTAGTCATGTCTGACTCTTCATGATCCCATTTGGGGTTTTCTTGGCAAAGGTACTGGAGTGGTTTGCTATTTCCTTTTTTAGTTCATTTTGTAGTTGAGGAAACTGAAACCAACATGGTAAAGTGACTTGTTCAGGGTCACATAGCTAGTTAGTGACCTAGGCAAAATTTGAACTCAGAAGGATGTGTCTTCCTGACTCCAGACCTGGCACTCTATGCACTGCATCATCTAACTCCCATCTTCATGAGTACCCTTAAGAAATTTTCCTCAGAACAGATTCCTCTGAGCAAGACTTTATATTTTTCTCTGCCTACTGCACCTCTCACCTTCGGTAATTTGCTATCACTCATGCTCAAACTCAAAGCAAAAGCTCAGAAAACACCAGCCACCCTGTTCTAGACTGCCTCCACTTCCCTGCCATTAACCTAAGGCTCCTTCCCAGAGACTGCTGATCATTTCTTTGCTGTGCATGCAGTTTGCATTTTGCTATATTTTGTATTCCCACTTTTTATCTTGATTCTCTTCCCAGAGTTTAAGCATCGTGAGGGTTGCCTGCTTCTACTTTTATCCCAAGCAAGTGAGCAGAAGGCACTTAATAAACGTGATAGAAAGAAATTTCTCATGAATATAATCTCAGGTTCATCTTCCTTCCTTTACTTTTCACATTTAACTTGTCACAGTGCAACTTCTTGTCCACAGAATCTTTAAATTTATTCTGATCCTTATTCGTCTCCAGACCAAAACTGCTCTGTCCAGAGAGTGTTTTGCCTGCCTGTGGAAATGTCGACATCTACAAAATGGGGATTTATGTAGTACAATACACCATGTTGGCTTCCCCTTAATCATTAAATAATTGTATAGTCCTTTCATACATAATTGTATAGTCCTTTCATACATCCCAGCCATTGGCCAAGCTAAGCTGTCTTTGAAATAGAGGGGATAGAGCACTTGGATAAACAGGACAAAAACAGAGACATATGGGAAAATATTGTTCTATGTAATTGAGGTCATGTTCCATTATCTTTACCTTTAGCCTTGACTGCTGAATTAAGACTGACAATGAAGCAAAGAAGGGATTGAAACAACAGATTTTTTTCTTTTACTCTAAAGGGAAACACCATTTCCCCAATTTTTGTTGGGAAGTATTCAATAAGTGTGTGCTAAGCCAACAGAATGAAGAATCCATCACAACTGCCACATAAATGTTGCCCAGCTGCTCTGTGCCTCAAGTCTTTTCCCTGACCTTCCCTCTCCCTCCCCCGCCCCAGCCATTCTGTTTCCTTGAAGGAATCACTTTTTAAAGAATCAACTACTGAGAAAACAAAGCAGCAAACCAGAGGCAGGTGGACATGGATAAGTGAATTTCTAAAGAAAAATAAGAGGGGAAAGAAATGTGAGGATTTTTCCTGGAATATAATTAATATAATAATTATAGATAATTACATTTGATATATTATAAAATAATATGTAATTAATATATTACATAGTAATATAATAACATAAGTAATAGTTTTGATATAATAACATAGCAGAAATATTTCTTTTCTGGAATATAGTTAGCACACTGGAAATAGTTAAGAAGCATGTGCACTTTTTTACACAGGGCTTCCTGAATTTGGATTTTCTCTTTTCAAAAATATTCAAAGCAGTAGCAAGAGATCTGTTTGATGTGAAGGTGGTGGTAAGGTTAATTTGATTCAATTTAATTCCATAAATATTTATGGCAAGAAAAACCTAGACACAGTTCTAGAAAAAAATTTATTTTCATAGTTTGGAATGTAATTTGAAAGTTTCCACTCTTTTAAAGAAATCAGCCTGTAGGTTCTTAAAACATATTCCTTGATTGGTGCTGTATTCTCTGAGGATGCTATGTATTTAGGGACCAAGGTAGCTGGAGAAAAAGTAATGGTTAAAAATATTTTTTTTCCTTTTGCCTACCTCCCTATCTGGCAGTGAATCTATAGGATGCCCAAAGCATCATCAAGTCACATGCACATATTAAAATCTTGCTACTTTGCATCAGGCTTCTTTCTCATCTTATCTTATTGCCTTGAGACAGAATCTCTGGTAAGAGAGATAGAACAAGGTCCTGTGTATTCAGAGACCAAGTGTACAGTAACAACAAGGGGAAATGCACCCGGGTAGAAATACTTTTCAGTCTTTTTATGTTGAATCATTTTTCTCTATGTCTAGTTACAATTTCTCTTCTATGAGTCTGGATATTACTGTAATATAAACAGCAACAAAGTTCTGTGAAATAGAATGTATTGTCCAGCATCAAAAGACCAGGAGGAAAGCTAGTCAATCAAACCTATTACGGTACAAAATGACATTTGTCTGGGGAACGCTGGCTTGTTTTCAGCTTTTCCTTCCATTAAACAGTAAAGTCTTTAGGTTGTGAACTATTTAAAGCCACACACCAGGCTTTGAAATCCTTGCAAGGCATTTTCAAAGGGAATGAGTCACTTCATTTTGATGGAAGATGTCTTGTTCAGCCTAAAGCTACATTATCAAGTATTAGAAGGGTTTGCTGGAGATTAAGCCAACAAGGTTAAAGCCCTAGCCATCATTATGGAACAATGAGTTAGTAGCATCCCTGATGATGTCTTATCTTTTTTTTCTTCTCCAATATTGTGACTAGAATTGGAAACTCCCTTTACCTTGTCAGATTGAGTGTTGTACACAGGTGGGTACAGTCAGGGTGTGGGACTCTCACAAAAGCTGTGCCCTATTCCCCCTCTTACTCAAAGAACTTTATTCTTCAAATTTTAAGCTTCCTCCCCACCCCCTACAACCAGAACCCCACAAAGTTGTAAGCATGATCACAGGTCCCCTTCCTTCTGTCCGGACAACTGGCTTCCTTCCCTCTTTTTTCACCTTTGGAAATCTAACAAATTCTGGGGTAGAGGTGTTATTTTTTTTTTTCTGACTGAAAATCCATTCCTTTCTTTCCTTCTTTCTCTTGCTTTATGATGTAAAGAAAGAATGTGTTGTTAAATTGTCTTGAATTTGTTAGCTTACTCTTAATTACCTAAGAAAGCAGGAAGATGCCTTCACCACATTATTTTTTTTCTCCATACTGTAAACTGCCACCCGATGTGGAATGTTGAGTGGGTATCTATCACCCAGCAGTCAGGCAAGCCCAAAACCAAGGAATGAAGACAAGAGTACTGAGAGTGAGAGAACTGTCAGCTTACCTTCAAGATAGCTATGACAATCCTGGAGTCCCCAGCCTGCACAGCGACAGAACTGACTGTTGTTGTAGAAGGCAGTGCCCCAGAACTCTCTTGGCTGGACATGGTACTTTCGAACCACAGTTTATTCTTTAAGGCAGCCTCTGTACAGATGTGTGTCTCCTAGTCATTTCAGAAGGCAGCAAACAGGGTTACTTGGATTCATTCAGGGAAAGATCTCAGCTAACACTGATTAGTCTGCCAAAAGGAAAGAACAGGAGGTTAAAAATAGACAACCCCATTGAGTTTATCATTCTTGAGAGAGAAACGGAGCATCGACACACCCCTAGTTTGGTAGCATTAAGCTGCCTGGGTTGGGTTTTTTTTTTTTCTGTCATTATCTGAAGTGTAGAGGATGGCCCTGAGCTCTGTGAACATCATCTGACACTCGATAAGCAAACGGAAAAAAGCTATATGCAAATGGCTAAAAAATAAAAATCCAGTTTTGTCCATTGTAAACTGTATGGACTGATAATTGTGGGCTTTAAAACCAGCAAGCTACTGTACTGAATACTGATCTTCAAGAAATGTTTGCTGTGGCCTCCATGCATGCATACAAAGATTTGCTTAAAAAAAAAAGTTACAGTACTTGTTTTTTTCCACTGAATTGCTTACTGCACAGAGCTGTCAGTAATATATTTTTAGATCAATCACCCCTCCCCAAACCCGTGGTCCTTCCTCTTCCAACCTCAAACACCCAAATCATATCCAATGGCCAGATTTGTTCAGAATCACAATTTTTTTAGAGGAATCTTATAGGGGGAATTGTTTTTAAAGCCCAGATCCATAGATACCTTTCATATTTAGCATTTCTTTCAAAATATTGTTTCCACAGATCATTTCTCTATTATATCTCCTAACTTTTATTGTCCAAAATGCCTTTTTTCTGTAAGCTTTTTGATTACTACAAGAAAATGTATGAGGTTTTTTTGGAGGGTGGGGATCCCACTAAAATTCAGCACTACACTTCAGGGTGAGTTTTTTTCCCCCTGCACTACTGTGCAGAGAAATAATAGATAGCTAGAAATCAGCACAAGATCAGTAAATTAATCCTATTGCTAGAAACTCGGAGTGAGCTACAAGTTGCTTGTGGTATTAAGCAGCAGCTGCTGTATTCCCCCAACAGAACAGCTGAGGGTGACACTAACGTTTAGGTCACAGGTTACTAAGAAGATGAAAAAGAGAGACACAGAGAAAAAAAAAAAGAGAGGAGAGACACAGACACGAGACAGAGAGAAAGAAAGGAGAGAGAGTGGGGAGGAGACAGGGAGAGAGAGAGAGACAGAGAGAGAGACGGAGAGACGGGGGAAGGAGAGAGGGAGAGGGAGGGAAGGAGGGAGGGAGAGAGAGAGAGAAAGAGAGAGAGAGAGAGACAGAGAGACAGAGAGAGAGAGAGACAGAGAGAGAGAGACAGAGAGACAGAGAGACAGAGAGACAGAGAGACAGAGACAGAGACAGAGACAGAGAGAGAGAGTCAGAAGCTGCCAACATCATCAAGGAACTGGAGGAAGAAGAAGACTCTACAGCTGTAAATAGACAGGCTTAAGTGGGATCCATCTGATTCTTTGTGTCAAAACACCTCAGCTCACTGTAAAAAGCATTTTTAATTTTGCTGCTGTAGATCAGCATGTTTAAATCAGCACAACTATCTTATTCTGCTATGGCCACAGTCATGTACTTGAGTAAAAAGAAAAAGGAAAAAAAAGTGTATACACAAGCACACACCTTTCTATTCAGCAATTCTGGTTTCTCTAAAGGGCATGGCACAGCTGTTCAGCAATCATCCGGCCATGACTGGCGTCTCTCTCCCACAACCCAGTGTGTTGCCTCTAAAGTAGATGAAAACTTCTGGAACCCAGTCATCAGGCTCCAGGAAGTTTACATGACGTCATGAGCAGAGGGAGGGGGGAGGTGACCATGGCTGAGAACAGGCTCCAAACCTGCCAAATTGATAAACAGGTTGACTAGGCAGGGCGCCAAGATGTGGGAAAAGATTATAAACGCAAATATTTCATGCCAGGAAAAGAGTGCTTGCAAGAGGGTCAGCTTGACCAGAAGGTTAGAAGTATGGCTCCTTCAGCTAAACTTATGGAACAAACACTTTGGCCTTTCGAGAGAATGGAGAGCAAACAATCTTGAGCTCATCGGGCTTAGGAAACGAGTCTGTCAAAGAATACTCACATCAAAAGCCACAAAATCCCAGAGTAGTAATACTTAAACTTCTGGGGTGACTGCCAACAGGAACAGCAAACAATGCACACACACACACACACACACACACACACACACATATATACACACACACACATCATATACTTTCACTCACAGGTTAGGTCTGGTTCCCTGAGGTGCTGCACAGGGGCCTTCCATAATGTAATGGGTATTTGGCAGCTGTAAGAACCACAGAAAAGAATGGTTGTGTCCACAAGGCTGTAGATAAGATGTATGATTTTGTAAGGGTGGGCAGTACATGATGGAATGCTTGGAGCTCAGATTTGAGAAGAAAGAAAGGATGGAGGGGTAAAAAAAAGAAACTGAAGGATTAATGCCAGAACTGAAATATCAGAAAATTAGGAGGGAATCTGTCAAATCACCTACTAACTCAACCACTCAGGCGTGAGCCATTCCCACACTGGAGGACTTTCCTCCTAGGATTGTTGGTATTTTTCCCTTTCGAATGAAGAAAATGATGTTGACATAAGTAGATTCATGTGTCATTTATTTTTATTTAGTTTTTGCAGCAATACGTTGGCATTATGTAGTATGTTTCTTTTTTGTTTTCCTTTTTAATTTTATTATTTTTTAAATTATCAAGCAATCCTTTTTTTTTTCTCCCATGTCCTTTCCATCACCTTTTGAAAAGAAAGGAAGAAAGGAAGAGTAAAAAAGAAAGAAAGAGAGGGAAGGAGGGAGGGAGAAGGAAGGAAGATAGAAAGGAAAGAGGGAAGTAAAGAGAGAAGGAAAAAGGGAAGGAAGGAAGAGCATCCCATAAGCACATTCATGTGAAACAAATTCCCACATTGGTCATCTCCAACACTTTCTCAGTTTGTATATTTATCTTTCTTTCATGAAGTAGGCAGCATTCAACTTTATCAGTCCTCTGGAATCAAGATAGATAATTTTGTTGATCAGTGTTCTTAAGTTTTTCAAAATTGTCATTTTTACAAAACTGCTGTTGTAGTACAAACTGTTGTTACAGTTTTGTTCACTTCACTCCGTATGTCTTGCATCTTTTAAAAACATAAGATCTCAATGCTGTATTTGTCCTTGGCTCATTTTGAAATCCAAGTTCCCAGTTTAGAAATCTTTCAGTATCTCACGTGCATATATTCTCCTTTGCACTGTGCCACGAGGCAGGGAGTGTAAATATTATCTCTGTTTTACAGATGAGGAGACTGAAGCTCATGGAGGTCAAGTGACTCACATTTCTTTACCCAGCTAACAAAAGGCAAAGCCAGGCCTTGAACCCAGTTCTGGCTAATGTTTGACTGCAAAAGACTCATCCTAGCCTAGTTCCCATTTTGTCCCCTTTTACTTCCTCGTCTATTCACTTAAATTAGACTTTACCTCTCTAGATGTTTAGATAACTTGACAATTTTCCGTGTGCAAGTGCCTAAATGATCACATGTCTATATGACTTTTCCAGCTCATGGAGAAGCCTTATCTATTGTTCTTCAGCTTGTGTAATATCTGATCACAAATTGTATTATTTCACTCTGGTTAAGTGATTTGAAATAATACTAGGATAAAAAATAGCACACTAACCAAATTTGTATTACAAGGACTGAAAAAAGTGGTACTAAAAAGCTTTTGAATTATGATCTGTTTATACTCTATCTACCATGACCACCCAAAAAAAAAATAAATTACTGATGTTCTATGTCCTTTGAAGCTTATGGAGGATCTTGCAGTGGTTATTATGTCTCTTCTGTTTATCTTCCTGGAAAATGCTTAGGTTCATGCTAGCTGAACATTAGTGAAATATTCTCCAGAGGGAACCAAAAAGTTATAACCAGATTCTAAAAAGTGAAATTGTACTTATTTAAGGAAATATAGACAGTAAGTCATATGAAAATGCTTTGCCCCAACATTCTTCTTAAGGCCTATGGGTATGGTAAAAAGCAGCACATTTTTCTTGTATCTCCTATGAGGGCCACTTGTTTAATGACAGGGAGTGGGTTTTGGAATCCTTGATAAGAATTACCATGTAGACAACACAATGAGTGGAATCATGGACCTGGAGTCAGGAAGAAGTGAGTTCAAATCAAACCTCAAACACTTTTTAGTTGTATGACCCTGGGCAAGTCACTTAACCTATTGCCTCACTTTCCTCATCTGTATAATGAGTATAATAATAACACTTACCTCCCAGGGTGATTGTAAAGACATGAAGATAATATTTAGAAAATGCTTTGTAGACATTACTTTGCCATTTACTACCTGTATGATCTGAGCAAGTCACTGAAAATCTCTGAGCCTCTGTTTCCTTATTTGTAAAATGGGGATAATAATAGCACCTACCTTACAAAATAGTAGTGAAGATCAAATGAGATAATGTAAAGTATTTTCCAAGCTTAAAAGAAGTATAAATGTGTATATACTCTAAAGAAGTATAAATGTGAATTATTAACACCATCGTCATCACTCTTAACTCTCATCTTTTTTAAAAATCTGGTTCAAATAAAAACAGTTTAAAGACAAAGTTTATCCTACTATATTATTATATTATTTACTATTTAATAACATCCTCCTCTTCCTCATGTTTCTTCTCTTCTTCCTCTGCCTCCTTCTCCTTCTCCATTTCTAACTTGTGTGTCTAAGCAAGACACTTGATTTTTGTGGGCTTCATTTTCTTCTTCTATAAATATTAGATGATTTCTATAAAATTAGATTACCTTAAAAGTCCATTCGAGCTTTAAAATCAATAAACTCTTATCAGTCAGCATAGAAAACAAACAAATCAGAATGAATCAATTTTTAAGACAATAATTGCAAGTTTTATTCCTGTCACAACTGTAGAAATAGGTATATATTAACAGTATTTTATGCTGCTTTCACATACTTCTTCAAATTTTGTCTACAGCCCACCATTTTCACAGGACTCCCAGTTTATATGTTTTTTAAGTTGTTCCATTTTTTTTTTCCTGGAGAAAATTGTGCTATTCAACTCATCTAAATGAAGCTATTGGTGATTTACTTTCATATTTTCATTTTGGAACATTCCTCTTCAGTTTCCAGTAAGAGGCAATCAGGATACTTGGACTCCATCTGCCCCAATGATATTTTTTTCATTGTGAAGATTTCTTGATGGAAATATTCTCCAAAACCTTTGGGGTATCTGAAATTTTGATTTTTTTTAGGGAATATGGTGTCCCATTATTCACAGAACCATCTTTTTAATATCAATATTCTTCTGTACCTATAGTAGGTCCTAGTTCAACAAATACTTGATTGACCTAACTACGTAAGTCCAATAGAACATTGAATGTAGTAGGCTTAATAAACATTTGTTAGTGTCAAAGAACAAATCAATGAATAAATAAACTATGGAATACATGTAACTGTAAATTTCCTCCCATTTTTAACTGATAACTTAACCATGCACAGAAACATTTTCTAAGAGAACAGCCACAAACAGTAACTCCTCTATTTAGCTCAACAACAGAAAGAAAACTTTGCCAAGTTCAACGTACATTTGGCCAACTCCAAGGATTATAGCTTTGTGGTTGTGATTTAATATAATTTCTAGCAATGCATTTTCCTCCCAAAGTGACATGATGGTAGATACCAATACTGTGTTCAATTCATTATTTGCATGTTTCTTTTGAAAGCCATATTTACAATAGCCACATATAATTGAAAACAAGATGAATTGTAGCTATTTTATTTTGCCACAGGTTCTGGATTTGGGCTAATGTTAAAAAATAAGCAACCTTTTACACTGTAGGCATAAAAGATTTATTCAGAGAAATATAGGACTGGATTTTAAAAAAATGGAATAGCCTGGTCACCTAATGAAAGTGAGAGGATGACTGATGGCCTGTCTCTGCTCCACTGGTCTCCATGAGATGTCAGAAGAACAAATTTGTGGAAAGGCATGGATGATCACTGCACAGGATGGCCAGGCATAGATGGGTTGCAATATGAATTGTTAGAGTAGGTACCCACAATGATAAGATCACAGATTCACCAGAGTAATTGGGGGACTAAAATAAGTGTTAGCCATAAGACCGCCTTCCATTCTGCCATGCTTTGAATAAGGACAAAACATATTTTAAGCTAGAAATTTAAGAAACATCATGTAAAACTGGTGATTTGCAGGATTTATTTTACACACTTCACCATACATACACGATCCAGATAAGAAGCACTCGGTATGACTTGCCTTCACCCATCTGAGCCATGGATTTACTGCATCCCTCTTCAGCATATCGACTTTCTCTCTTTATATGATAGTTGATGCCTGTGATCTGAGGAGAGAAATGAGGGGAGGGAACAAGAGCCTTTTTCATTTTCCATAGCCAAGTTCCCTGACAGTGAACTTCCACAAGAGTTTAAAGATACTAGCAGTGACATGCAAAGTTTGGAAACTTAGTCAAGAGTTTGGGAAAATTTAGAGAGTTTTTTTTCCTACTGTTGCTAAAGAAACTTCATTTGAGGCTGAAAAATTCCAGCTCATAGCAATCCCTAGGGAGGCTTGGAGAGCAACAATCCAAGCATGCTTGGGAAGCCAGCAGTGACATTGAATGTGGGCCATCACCCTTCCAGCAGCTACGATATTTGCCAAGAAAATAAAATACTAATAGGAAA